CAAATTCTAGGCTAATGCTTAGTGGGTACTGCAACGACTACTATCGCACGCGGCCAAAGAAAGTGAATTAACTATATCGGCGCTGAATTAAAGAGAAAAAAAACAACAGCAAAGATTTAGCGCGCTCGAGCCGTCGATTCGATTCCCTTTTCACTCGCGTGGCCGCTCGCCGCGCGCGTTATCTGTTCGATAAAATCGACCTTCGCTCGACAAAAAATGGGGAAAAACTTGCGGGCTTGCGGGATTGATGAAATAGTTATAGAATACAGGCAGTATAGCGACCCAGCAGCCGCACTTCGGTGAAAGGAGGCTCTTTTTGCGCGTTGACGCGCGCGCGCAAAATTTACATCCGCGTTAGGTATATGCCGCAGCGGCAGCAGCACCTCTCGCGAAAACTTAAAAAGGAATCGGCCGGTATGGTTATAACGCGTTCTTTTTTGTGCTGGTGGTGGTGTAAGCCGAGAGATGATTTATTCATGATTCGGATCTGGAACACTATGAGAGGATCGACATGCGATGATGGCCCTGAATGTGTATGCATAACGGAAAATAATATTTAGCGCGACGATTTTGTATGCACGAAATTCATGAAGTACGGGTAGTACAAAAAAGAGAGATTAAGTTTAGATTCAAGTGTGAAGTACAGAAAAAATATTTCCACTGATTGTTCAGAGGCACATCTACACTTGTCGCATGCGTAGCGTTTGCACTTACCCTGATAGGAATGTCCAATATTTCAGGGCAATTTTTGGTCGAAGAATAAAGTTTCCGGGACTCTAGAAGGGACATTAGAATTTAGAATTAGAATTAGAATTAGAATTTGGATTTTTTACTTCAACACATTTTTAATAGTTGATATAGTTCTAAATTACCACGCCTACATAGCTATATTACATTTAAAATAACCACGAATCTGGAAATAATATTTACGTTTTACGTTTCACAGTGTGTCTTTATTGTGGAGCACGGCAAGGTATCATTCGTTTACATGAAACTTGTACACGGGCATTTCTGTACTCAAGTAAAATGTGTCCAATATTTGTACACATATAAACTTTTTTTAAATTCAAAAAATTACGATTACGATTATTTTTAAAAATTTTTTGAATTTCGAGCAATACGTGTTTGGACTTCTACAATTTTAAGCAATACGTGTTTTGACTTATACAATTATTCTGACTTTGCCACTCGCAGATTTACGGGAATAAAGTTACTTGCCATCTAGCGGCAAAAGATTGATGTAATATTATCGTATTTTCAGTGAAAACTGGTCTAAATTGGTCATTTTAGATAATTTAAAATGCACTCAATCACTATAACATAATTGTAACAGAAAAATTCATTGAAAGCAGACTAATTAACGCTAATGCGAATTTAAAAAAAAATCTCAAAATGTCACATTTTTCATTCACTGGACCATTATTAACGTTGAGCGTTTCTACCAGGTTACACACACATATCAATAAACTAGCCTAGCTCGCGTGGTATAGACGCTGCTGCACTGACGTACGTTTTTTCTACTCCCGCCTGTATTATCTCTCTTCACGCCTTTTAACTCCACTGCGCGGCTGTATAATATAAAGAAAATAAAAGAGTCGGAAGAAAAACACGCTTGCGCACATACACACACGAGCCGAAGCGGGATAATCTTTTCATAAACTAGACCAAGACCCATTGAAAGTTGGCAAATTAGTTTTTCGAACTTTTACTGCTGAGCACTGCGCGTATACGTACATGACCAATGTCCGCAAATGAAAAGATTTATTCTGCGCACGTATACACCGGCCGAAGTGTATATACGTACGATATTGGCGAGTTTATGGTCGCACACACACACATACTCACACACACACTTAAAGTACTATTTTGCAAATACTACGTCTGTACACACGTAACGAGATATAATACGCGTGAATTTTAACGTTAACGGCTTGAACGGAAAAAAGTATAAATAAATTAACGGCGAGTTATTTATTTATTTTTTTTTTTTTTTTGCTCTCTAGAGAGGCGAAAGTTGTCACCGACGCGCGCGCGCCGGGTGATAACTCATTAACGAACCACACAAAGACATCTCAATAATGCGGTCATTAAAACTAAGCGGGAAAATCGGCACGTACGCACACTTACACGTATACGCGAGAGGAAAATCGTCATTACCTCGGCTCGACGACGACAACGTTTGTTTTGGAAAATATACGAGTGTGTGTGTGTGTGTAACTGCGAAAGTGTTGCGTGGAACAGTTAGATCGTAATATAGGTGGAAGCGATACACACGCGCGCTGCGGAGACTTTAATGAATGGCAAAAAGATCCGCGCGATCTGTTAAACTGTATTACGAGTTACATTATGCCGGCGCTCGCGACTTTTGTTCGTATATAATGTACAAGAAACATCGGCTCGAGATTTGAAATATGGTCGCACTGCTTCCGTGGCGACATTGATAAATATATCTCTCGTTGACAATGCAGCCATTCGTCATATGTATATGCGAAAACATACGTATGCGAATTTTAAAATACGTAATTTTTTCGTTTAGCAATTACAAATCTGCATCTGTATGGTGAAGTCTGTGTACGCATATATATTTTTTTCATACTTGGAACGTGCGTAACGGTAAATAAAATCGATGATTTTGCGCACATCGTGTTGGAGCATATATGCAAGTCACCTAACTTCTGCTTGTTGCAACGAAACCCGTGGTTTTTCGCTTGTACAGCATGATGATAATATAATATCGTAGGTGGTCGCGCTGATAGGCAAACCTGCGGGTACCAATAAGGATTTACCGATGTATATAGTGCAGCCGATTTTTTCCCTATAGCCATCCATGTATTATCGATCACTCGGTCAATTCAGAAAAAGTGACCAAAAATGGATCTTTTAAAAAAAAAAAAGATCGGTATCACATGTCTCGTATACAGAGCGACAAACTTATTTGTATCGATCGAACATATCCGAATGCAAAAAAAAAAAAACGATGACAACGACGCGAGGACGTGTGTGTGCGCGAGCGCGAACGTGCAAGGGCCCCGTTATGTTAATGCCAAGCTTTTGGCTAACCGTAACGGTTGACTTGGCCCTGCTGCCTGCTGCTGCTGCTATTTTTCATCGTCTCCTGCGCGCGTAATATGACACGATTTTTCGCCTCTTTACCTTACTTTTTTTTCTCCTCCTTTCCATCCTTCGCTCGTTCATTATATTTTATTTTTACACTGATCAATTTTCATCGTATATGTATATCGAGCCTGTTTTTTTTTTATTATTATTATGACGCATCGGCCGTGTGTAATTGCAATTTTATGTCCCACACACACACATATATACCAATGCGTCGCTCGATCGATGTGACAGCTCTACTTGGCAACGAAACTATAATATGCGGTCCGCGATATGCGACGAGTAGCGTATCGAGCGCAGCGTATCTGTTTCCGAAGCATAAGGTCCCATATACTATATTGCAATATGTATAACTGCCAGAGAGTGATAATAATTATCGAAAATATTTAACCTTTTTTTGTTTTCTCCTCGCAGACGGCATTATTATATGCAGAGTCGTGTCGCGAGGACTCGATTTTGTACATGCGTGAAATTTCTCACAATCGTATAATGAATTTTTTTTTTTTCATTTCTGGGAGGCCCAAATCAGTGAAAGTTAATTCATCGACGCTATTTGCTTAGAGATGTCGTTTTAACGGGAGTATGTTTGTCCGTACAAATATCGATCTCGGTGACACATATACCTCGAATTTATCGATTCGATTGCTCCTATACAGAGACGTATATAAAATTGCTTCTTGAATTGAGCTGTATCCCGTCGACTCTCCAGACAACTTACAACTTTTTTTTTCACGAAAGCGCGATAAAAATGTATAAATACGCGACTTACGGTACATTTAAAATACTATCTCCTATTGCGCATAATGAACGATTCATATGTGTGGCTATTGAAGATGCTCAGCAGCAGCAACAACAACATGCATTAAACAGAGTGGTCAATGCCTCATTGTGCATGAGCTTGAATGCACTGCACTCGAGAAAATTAAGCCCTCGCTCGTGTACCGAGCGCGAGAGAGATGAACATTAACGAGGTATTCGGAACTCGTGTTTCTGTGAAAATGTTCATCTTTTTTTTTTTTTTTGTTTCTTTATTTCGATTTTTAATTGCGAAAGACAAAAAATAAACACGCACGCGTACAAGACTGTCTTTATAATTGGGAAGATGTGTCCGCGGCCACAATTGGAGCCGTTTTCACCTGAATTTACGAGGCGACGACAAGCAGCGCGACAATTCGAAAGTCCCCGCGGCGGATCCGAAATGGAATTCCAAAATAACATACGCAACACACGGAGGAGTCCCGAACATAACGTCCACCAGAATCATAGTAGGTCACCGGTCATGTATACTATACTACACAGGGGGGCTCGAAGGACGGAAGGGAGGGGGCCGACTACAACCTTCACGAACGCTTTCGTGTATATTTATACGAATACAACAAAAACGACCTTGACCGCGAACTTGAACGTGCGTATGGAGTGCCGGTTATATTTACGCACGTAAGGACATATTTTTTTTTTTATTAACACGTGTGTGCCGGTGAGTATATATTCGGTGTTTTTTTTTCGAGAGTTAAAGATTCTTATTTTTTTTCTCGCTCGTCGCTCTCTTTTTTTTATTTTCTTAATTGAGAGAGAGGATGACACGCTCACCGAGAGATCGTCGCGTTTCTGGAACTGGAATTTTTTGCGCTGGGGACTGGAGCGAAATGATAGCGATAAAGGAATTCAGCGATGCGTATCTTCTTTATATAAAAAAAATATATAAAGCGATGTCGTAGAGCGAAATCAATTGTCTTGGGAGCACAGGTCAAAAGATGAAAAATTTCGCCATTTTTAAAAAGTAAAATGAAAGAGACTTAACAATTTAATGAAATATTTATATCAATTCAAAATTAGCTAAGCCAATAATTTTTCTTCAGTACAAAATGTGTTGATTATTTTTTAAAATTAAAAATTTTTTTGTACTTCGTGAGTTAAAATAACGGAAATACATCGTAATATTATAATGGATAAAAAGTATGTATCTTCTGGATTAACAGACTGGATCGTCATACGAGATTTTTGGAAAAATCAAACAATGATTTTATCGATTTATTTGGCCTTTCTGTGTGAATGATGTGATGTGATGTGGGTACTGAGACTACTTTTGTGAGTAAAGGACTTTCCGCATGTATCACATGTATGAGTCTTTTTCTTGTGCACTGAATCTATGTGAACATTGAGAATATCTTTTCTGACGAATGTCTTTCCGCATACGTCACACGCTGGTTTGACACCTTTATGCGTTGCATCGACGTGGCGTTTAATACTTCTCTTCGACGCAAATTTCTTACCGCATACGTTACATGCTGGTTCGACGCCTTTATGCGTTGCATCGACGTGTTGTTTGAGTTGACTCTTAAACGAAAATTTCTTACCACATAAGTCACATTCATGAGTGATTTCTCTATGGACTCTATCGACGTGTTGTTTTAAAATTATCTTCCGCGAGAACTTCTTTTCGCACAAATCACATTTGTGTCTGATTTTACCATGAACCGAAGCAATGTGTCTTGTCATATCATTCTTTCGTGTGAATGTGTTTCCGCATGTCTCACATGTATGAGTCTTTTTCTTGTGCACTGCATCTATATGACGTTTGATAGAATACTTTCGCCCGAATGCTTTCCCACACGTGTCGCAATTATGCGTGATGTCACTGATATCCGTACTGGAACGTACTTTGCGTTTGTGTCCTATGTTGCAATCTTTTGTGACATTTCTTTCTTGACTGTGCTCACCCAGTTCATAGTTGAAATTCATACATTTTTCTGCTTCATCGACAATAAACTCTTTTTTTACTGCCCCCAAAGTTTCTACTTTGACAAGGGTTTTATCTTCAATTTTCTCGGCTGCTAAAATATTCCAGGTAGGCTTTACGTCTTGGCATTCCAATACAATCTGCATATCGTCATCAAGTTCAGTTTCTTGATTTTTGTCACATTTTTCAAGCTTACAAGTCTGCAATAGAATCAAAGTTAGGGTTAAGTTTTTATCAAAAGTATTTACCTTATCAACATTAAAGAAAATAATATCCGCCCTTACTTGATTTTTCAGCAGGAATGTGGAAATTTGAATATTTTCATGGTCGGGTATCTTGCCAATTGCATCACGATCATCATGTTCTCTTAGCGAAACGTCAACGGGCTCTAGTTTTATTCTTTAATTAATCAGATAAAATCAGGCGTAATTATTTGATTATTGCATTCTTTAATTCTCATTAAATGAAAATTACCTTATGGCAGAGTTAAATAATCGACTTGCTTCCATCTTTGATACTTCAAATTCGGTTAACGATTGATACTTCGTACATGATATTTATCGAGAAACTAACTAGCTTGAATTCAATGTAATAATATTTATATTATTTGACTAATGTCAACTTATGTAAGTTATCAAATTTTATTTGAGTCAGATCTACTACTAAATAATAAATATTCTCCAATTTGAGTTTGGACATTGCTTAGAAATCGCAAAGTGTAATTTTTATGAATCGACAATTGTGGATGAGTAAAAATTAGTTAGTTACGTAAATAATTTAAATGAAAAAACGACTTACTTAATTTTAAAAATAAAAGTAACAGTTTGATTACGTTAAATTTTTGTACAAAAAGTTACTTATTTTTATACAAATAAAGTAACAAGTTACTTGTTGTTTTTTATTATAATTATTTGCGTTAACAACTATAGGAATAGCTCGTATGTTTGGAATTAAATTAAATTATAGCAGGTTATAATATAAATAGAAGCCTTGGAAAATTTGAATAGATGTAATCTTTGTACTTGGTAAAAAATGAGCTTTGAGCACGCAAAGCGACATTTATCACACTGTGTATGAGAGTGACTTTTCTCTGACAACATTTTTTAAAGATTCATTCAATAATCTTTATATAAATGAAGAATAGGTCAATAAATAAAGTATATTATTAAGATTTCACAACCATTCATAAGTACTGATATTACAAAATTAAGGTTTACCAACAACTTATTCGGTACTACCCTAAAATTGACTATAAAAATGGTTAAAACATTCTGAACGTTAAATGCAGTAACATTGATACTTTTTCCTTTTCATTTCTTAACGAATTTCCTTCGCCCCGATGGCAATCGATCCATCGGCGTCGTGAACTCGAAATCTTGCGGGAATAATTGAGCCGCATGCGGAAGCATAAGCTGATAGATGCATCTAATAGTTCTTTTGGAAACTCCTGTGACATGGTAAATTTCTGTGTCAATTTCTGACGGGCTTGTCTTTTTATACGCAGATGCCTGGCAAACTATGTATATAGCTGCCGCCGTTATTGATATGGGTGATCGTCCAACAAAGTCTCCTACATCTTCGGCCTGTCTTGCAATCATCGTAGCTGCACGCAGTAAAGAATCGGGCAAGCCCAATTGCGTACAAACTCTCGGCACGAAATCTTCCGCTCGGAAAGTTTGAACTTTGATTTTGAGTTCAGATTCGATGAATTTGAAGCATTGCCCAATTTCTGTTACATTCGTTCCGCTGACCACGCTCATTTACCTGTACGTACGAGGAACTCTTTCTTGTCTACAAGCGATGTACAAACAAGTCGATGCAATTGCATGACTTTCATACTTGTTTGAAATCGAGCGTTTGAGCGTTTGATTTTCGTGTAGTGTCGTGAACAGGTCGTTAGCTCTGACTATTGTATTTTCGGGAAGTTGGATGCGATCTGCCATTGCTCTTATACCTCGTGAAGCAGCGACATCGTTCTGATGATTTGCAAGTCCGAGGCCATCTTGGCGAGTGCATGCATTTTTCTGGTCGTCATCGAGTTCGATTTCTTGATTTTCGTTGCATGTTTGCAGATTGATGTTCTGTAACAAAATTCATGATACGTTTGAATTTTGTAAAAATGTTTACTGTATCAATGGGAAGAAATTATTAACTCTTATTACTTGATCTTTCAGCGAAAATTTTGGACATTGAATATTTTCATGGTCGGATATCTTATCAATTACATCACGATAGTCATTTTCATTAAGCGATACGTAAACAGGATCTTGTTGCGTTCTTTAATCAATCAGATAATATTAAGTATTATTGTATTATGTTTAAATGATGTTATCCTCGTGAAAAGATAATTACCTCAAGACGGAGTTAAATAAACTTGCTGCCATCTTTATAATTCGGTTAAAGATTTATCTTTTATTCGCGATGTTCCACGCACAACTAACTAACTTGAGTTTAATTTAATAATATATTTATAAATGATATGACCGATGAAACCTGAAAAATAATTAATGATCATAAACTATTGAAAACATTTACTGCTCATTACGTCTGACATCAATAATGTTATATTTCTATAAATAACATGATATGTGGCGAAAATAAAATTAACGATTATAAATAAAAAATTTTCAAAAATGATTTTATCGACACGCAGAAGCTCGTAAGAGTAATCGTGTACAAGTACATTTGATGCTTTTTGAGAGTTGTAAATTCATATTTTTTTCGTTGCTCTCTTCTTCGAGTCGAGAGGATCAAAATCATACCGATAGAAGAATTCGTAAATGCATAACATTATTCGCACTTTCAATGAGTGTCACGAAGTAAAATTGATTGATTTTAAGACAAATGAAGTTGCGGGGCACAAGGAAGAGATACGAATGATTGATTCACGATTTATGTGAAAACCAATACAAAAAACAAAAAATTAAATATGATATGTGCATTGATTCATCATAAGTATTACCTACGATTTTTTCAATGAAAAATTTACTGAATATTTCTATAAATTCAATGTTGTTCATGCGTGAGTTATAACAAAATCAAAAAAATTCGAATTATCATATTGAATTAAATTTCTTCAGTTAATCTTGTTGATGAACAGACTAGATCGTCAAGAGAGGCTTTTGAAAGAATAAAACATTGATTTTATACATTCATTTGGTTGAACGGTGCGCCATATCAATGTGAGCTTTCAGATTTTTTTTGTATCTGAATGTTTTTCCACAGATTCGGCATGTATGGATGATTCCATTATGGATCGAAGCGATGTGAATTTTAAGATTATCCTTTCTTGCGAATGTTTTTCCACATACGTCACACGCTAGTTTGACACCTTTGTGCGTTGCATCGACGTGGCGTTTGAGACTACTCTTCGTCGAACATTTCATACCGCAAACGTCACACGCTCGTTTGACGCCTTTATGCGTTGCATCGACGTGGCGTTTGAGACTACTCTTCGTCGAACATTTCATACCGCAAACGTCACACGCTCGTTTGACGCCTTTATGCGTTGCATCGATGTGGGGTTTGAGTTGACTCTTTGTTGTAAATTTCTTACCGCATACGTCACATTCATGTCTGATTTTATCATGAACCGAATCAATGTGTTTTTTGATATCACTCTTCCACGAGAACGTCTTTTCGCACAAATCACATTTATGTCTGATTTTACCATGAACCGAATCAATGTGTTTTTTGATATCACTCTTCCACGAGAACGTCTTTTCGCACAAATCACATGTATGTCTGATTTTACCATGAATCGATTCAATGTGTTTTTTCATATCACTCTTTTGTATGAATGTGTTTCCGCATGTTTCACATGTATGAGTCTTTTTCTTGTGCACTGCATCTATATGACGTTTGAGATCATACTTTCGCCCGAATGTTTTCCCACACGTGTCGCAATTATGCGTGATGTCACTGATAACCGTACTGGAACGTACTTTGCGTTTGTGTCCTATGTTGCAATCTGTTGTGACATTCCTTTCTTGACTTTGCTCACCCAGTTCATAGTTGAAATTCATACATTTTTCTGCTTCATCGACAATAAACTCTTTTTTTACTGCCCCCAAAGTTTCTACTTTGACGGGGGTTTTATCTTCAATTTTCCCGGCTGCTAAAATATTCCAGGTAGGCTTTACGTCTTGGCATTCCAATACAATCTGCATATCGTCATCAAGTTTAGTTTCTTGATTTTCGTCAAATTTTTCAAGCTTACAAGTCTGCAATAGAATCAAAGTTAGGTTGAAGTTTTTGTCAAAAATATTTACCTTATTAACATTAAAAAAACTAATATCCGCCCTTACTTGATTTTTCAGCAGGAATGTGGAAATTTGAATATTTTCATGGTCGGGTATCTTGCCAATTGCATCACAATCATCATATTCTCTTTGTGAAACGTCAACGGGCTCTTGTTTTATTCTTTAATCAATCAGATAAAATTAAGTGTAAGTATATGATTAAATTATTATTTGATTATTGCATCTTTTAGAATCGTAAAATGAAAATTACCTTAACACAGAATTAAATAAACCACTCGCTGCCATCGTTATTACTCGAAAATCAGTTAGTCATTGATATTTCACATCAGATTTACTGGTTTGAATTTAATTTTATTATATTTACATACTGTCAACAATGTAAATTAAGCGAAGTTATCATCATGTATTATTAAACATTGATCTTCTGCCAAATAAATAATGGCTATTTTTCTACTAATAGCTGGGCATTTTAATCTTCAAATCTTATACGAGATATTCGAGAATTTGATCAAGAAACAACGATTTAATTGATTTTTCAAATTAATGTAATTGGTTAATTACGCTAAATTTTTTAGTACACATTAACTCGTTGTTTTGTATTAAAACTATATGTATGCTCAACTAGGAATAGCTCCGTTTGTTATCAAATCAAGTGAAAATATAGCTGGTTCAATTGCAAGAAGTATTAATGCGTTAATTTATCATCATACTTTATGTTGAATCGTACTCAATAGATGAATCTTCTCAATAGATGAAGGTAAGCCTGCAGTATAGCTTCCTAACTTACAGCACTGTAGAAGAGTCGACAACAGAGCAAGAGTGTCGCGTCAACTGTTTTCTTTTTCGCATTCAATTCATTCTATATTTTTTTTCTATTCATAAATAATATAGGAAATCGAGTACACACAGTATAAATAACTGTGATTAATTAATACCAAACCAACTTTTACCCTAAATTTGCAGAATTAAAATTGGAAAAATAATTCAATAAAACAAATCGTTTAAATAATAACTCGCATCGTCAAATTTGGTGAATATTATCTGTCTATTCTCGCGTCATCGTCTCGTCTATTTTCAATCGGTACAACAACAATAATCGACCGCGCGCGATTCGTCTTGCCCTCGAATCAAATAATCTATTTACACTCTGTGTACACACACACGCAAAATACCGGTAATAACCGAGCTACGCAAGCTCGCACAGTTACCGTTGGCCCGCCTCGCAGCGAGTGTAAATATAGACAACGATCGCCAGAGAGAAGAAGAAGAACATCAACGTCGTCAACGAAAAAAATCAACGTCATGTCGCTCGAGCGCTTGAAGGAGCTGTACCAGAGGCTGATCGCCATTCAGCACACCGGCGAGCCGGTGGAGCTCGCCGCCGATCTAAATCGCGAGGAGATACGCGCCAACGTCAACTGGATCCTGTATCGAGCGGTGCTCCATCGCAACATCAAGGTGGTCAATCAGCTGTGCCAGCTGGGCATCACGAACGTGGGAGGAGCCGGACCCGGCGTGACGGACGCGAGGACGGCCATACATCGCGCCGCTCGCCAGGGTCAGTGGGACATGGCTCGCGCTCTGTTCGGCGTCTACGACTCAACGAATTATAAGGATCCGCGCACGGACTTGACTCACCTGCACGTGGCCTGCATGACGGCCAGTCTGAAGCACGTCTGGCAGTACCTGGACCAGAAGGACTGCGACCTGAACGCCAAGTGTAAGGATTACTACGAGGAGGCCTACCCGCTGAATTTGGCCGTCTACTACTATCTGAGGGCCTGCGAGGAGAGCGAGCGGGCGATACTCGAGGCGGCTTGGAAGGGCCTCCAGCCGCCCGTCGAGGACGTCACCGAGAATCCGCTGGCGACGATCGAGGTGCTGCTCAAGGCCGGGGCCAACGCCAATCAGCCGAATCGCGACCAGACCAGTTTGCTGACGAGGGCCATCCGGGCGAATCGCGGCGAGCTCGTCGCGCTGCTGCTCCGCTACAAGGCCGACCCGAATCATCGGGACGCCGAGACGGGCCGCTGGCCCCTGGACGAGGCGCTCGGCCTCAACGACCGCCAGGCGATCGCGCACATCATGGCGCAGCCGCGCGACGTCAATCATCTGCGCGCCCAGGAGCGCCGCGATCTGCTGCCCGCGGTGCACGAGTACGCGGAGCTCACCGCCGAACGGCTGAGCCTCGGCACGTACCAGGCGCTGGTCGGCTGCGACGAGGACAGCCTGCCGCGCGTCCTCGAGAGGCTCTTCTCCACCAATCTCGAGGTCATGCGGGAGTTCTACGGCAAGATGCTGCAGTACGGCGCGGACCCGAACTCTCTGTGCGCCCAGGGCCGCATGCCGAGGCTGGACAAGCCCGCGACCACGAGGATCGTCGAGGCGCTGCTGCGCGCCGGCGCCAAGGCCACCAACTGCGATCCCCAGGGCAGGACACCGCTGAGGCGGACGATCGCCTACAATTACTACAGCCTCGTGGAGAAGCTGCTGCTGTGGGACGGCCTGGTGGACCAGGAGAGCCGCGACGGTGTGACGCCGCTGGAGGAGGCCGTGAGGTGCCTCGACACCGAGGCGGTGGAGCTGCTGGTGCTGCACGGCGCCAGCGCGATGAGCCTGAACGCGGACAAGAGGAGGCGAGCGATGGTCACCACAGCCGTCCGGGAGAACAGAGTCGAGCTGATCGGGCATCTGATCGAGCACGGCTTCGAGGCCAGCGCGCCCGACCACCACGGCAGGACGCTGCTCGACGAGGCGATGATCTACGACAGGCCGCGACTTCTGAGCATGCTGCTGGACAAGGGACACAGGCCGAGATTCGAGGACGACTGCTCGCGGAATCCACTGGTCGTGGCGGTGCGCCACCAGTACAAGGAGATCGCGCGCCTACTGCTCGAGAAGGCCGGCGCCGACGCCAAGATACTGAACAAGCCCGAGCTGCGCCACCTGCTGACGAGGCTCGTGGCCAACGACGAGCTCGAGCTGCTGGAGCTGTTGATCAAGGCCGGCGCGAGTACCGACGCCAAGGACCAGTACGACGCGACGCTGCTGCACAAGGCCGTGCAGCTGAAGAAGCCCGAGGCCATCGGGCTGCTGCTGCGCAACAGGGCCGATCCGAATCTGCGCTGCGTCATCGCGGACTACAGGACGCCGCTGCTACAGGCCGTGGTGGACAGGGACGCGGCGATCGTCAAGCGGCTCCTGGACGAGGCCGACAAGATGGGTTTCATCGTGAACATGAAGAGGAGGGACATGGACGACAAGGTGGCGATCGAGCGCGCCGTCGAGAACTTCGACCTGGCGACGCTGCGGGTGCTGCTCGATCACGGCGCCGAGATCGAGACCTTCAACTCGCCGGACAATCGCGAGATACTGACGCTGCTGATCGAGCGCAATCAGCTGGACATCCTGCGTACGCTGATCCTAGCCGGAGTCGATCCCAACGTGCAGAGCCTGCGCTCGAACTCGCTGCAGCACGAGGCCGTGGCCAAGGTCAGGCCCGACATACTCGAGTGGCTGCTGGCCGAGGGCGGGGCCCTGCCCAGTCTGCCCAACGGCATCGGTGTGCCGCCGCTGCATCTGGCCTGCCAGACCAATCAGACGGAGCTCGCTCTGATACTGCTGCGCCACGGCGCCGACACCACGGGCCTGTCCGTGCGCGACGATCCCTACGATCGGGTCGTCCTCCACCAGCTGATCAAGGACAAGAACGCCGAGGTGATCGAGGCCCTGCTCAAGGAGGGCGTTAATCCGAACGAGCCCACGTCGCTGCTGCACGTGGCACTGGGCATGGGCGATCTCGAGGAGATCGTCGAGGTGCTGCTGCAGAACGGCGCCGATCCCAGGCAGCCCGAGCCCGGCACGGGACTGCTGCCGCGCGATAGAGCCGAGAGGCTCAACAGAACCAAGGCCAAGAAGTGGCTGGACGAGATGCTCCAGTGAGAGGACGACTTTCGCGAGAAAAATATATACGTGCGAGATTCGTACGATTGACTTGCAGCTCGGTGCATCCGAATTTTTTATATAATTAATATTAAGGACGTATTCGACATGAAAACTATGTGATCGATGTATCGATTTTTTTATTATGTAATTGATATTCTTATTGTTTCAGTCAATATTGTAAACGGTAGTTTTGTAAATTTAATCATTATATAGTACAAAAAATCAATTGATTTTTTTTTTGATCTACACTAAACGAAGCGACACTTATGTATGTTTATTTACAAGCTAATAAAAAAATCTCATCCATACGACATCTCGTAATTAAAAGGTAGAAAAATAATTAATCTTTAAAAACAGAACCTAACGCTAATACAATCTCAATTATCATCACACTTTTTCGATATTCATAATGTAACGGAGCTCCTACGATGTGTGTGCCTGTTGGAATCACCGCCTCTGCTTGTTGTAATTTTGAAAGTAATAATAGAACGGATTGTAGAAGTTGTGGGGATAGTGGCCGGCGCCGTAGCCGCCCTGTGGCGAGGCCACGTCGTTTCGGTGATCCCAGGCGTCCTCGGGTCCGTAGGCTGCGAAAAAAAAGTAGATCGCGTGATAATTTTTGTCGTTGTTCTGTCACAGAGCGAAAGAAAAGAAGCTCTTAGTTACCTGGATAATCTACCGGTGGATATTCGGCTGAATTGTGACCCCAGAAATGATGATGATAGGGCTGCTGGGCTATTTTGCAGACTTTCAGGTGGGACAGTACCGAGGGCAGCAGCAGAGAGCCGAGCACCAGCAGCTTCTTGATGAAGTGCACGCCGAAGAATATCGGCAAGAGGATCAGTTTTAATTTCAGCAGATTCAGCAGGATCAGAATCGGCAGGATGATGCTCTTCTTTTTTTTGTGAAACAGACGATTTTTGCCGTCGGCCGTGAACGTCACTGAAAGAACAGTACATCTATTAAAAATCAAGCAAAGCATAAGTAAAAACGATGAACGAACGAATAATCACCGTCGAAAGTCCGGGCTCTCTGCATCTGGCCGAGCTCCTCCTCGTCCAGCACCATGATGCCGCTCGAACCGAGACTCCTGGCGCCTTGCGGCTGCTCCACGGTGTACACGAGCGCTCGCCTGGTCAGCAGCTCCTCGGCGGACTCGCGCAAAAAGTACATGGTATCGGACATGAGGCTGGGCTTCTTCGAGCGCGGCAACGGGGGAAGGAAGCGTTCGCCGCTCGCCGCCGACGCCGGCAGCTTGATGATCTTCAACGGGCCGTACACGTATTCCTGGGAGGGATTGAAAAAACGAATAATTATTTATTTCAAGTTGGCGTGCGCGCTTCATTAAAGTTGCCTTTTGGTACGATAAAGCCGCTGCATTCATTGGGAATCGGGGTCGTGATTGATTTATTAGGATTGTTTCGAACAAAACCTTGTATCTAATAAGTAGAACATTTCAGCTCTGTATCACAGATGGGTTTTAACATTTATTTTTTGTAGCTTCTTTTTCAAAAAAAGGACCGGTTTTATTGTTCGATACCGTTTCTAAAATTATTTACTTTTTATTTAAAAATATTTACGATTTTTACTGTCGAAAAGAAACGACTGAAAAAGGAAAATGATGAGAGACACAAATAATTTTTAAAACCATTTATCACTATTTTTTAGAGGTTTCAGAAACTTGTAAAAAAAACACATTAAATGTAGGTCTTGGAAAAACGGTGATATAGAATCATAAAAATTCTAAAATATGTCATACGTATTCTAGAATTTTTTCGTACTTTTTATTTTTTCTCTAAACTTGTAGTTTTTGTTGTCCTTTTCGAGATGAACAACCCAAAAATTTTTGCAATGACAAAAAAAAATATTTTAAAAATCACAGGATCAAACAAAAAAATACTGGTTTTTTCTAGAATTATGAAGCTACATAAAATTTTCGAAACCAATCAGGGTATCATAGCCAAAGTGATCTGCTTGTAAATATGTTTTATAACTTATCTAAATGAAACGAGATAATAATTTTCTAAGAAAAACCACGAATCACGAGCTTGTTTTCAACGTTTGACATAAAAAGTTCGCTTAAAAGCTCTGCATGTCGGGTTTAAAAAACTAAGTCGTATCAAACGATCCGCGCAGTCGACTAAATCTACGACGACTTATTCTCAATCTCATAATGCGCTAGTTCAGTGCAATTTTACGCGAACCAATTCCTTCGGCGGCCGGCTCTCGTTTCAACGCTCAAAGCGGACAACAAAAATTTACCGACACATATACGTCCGACTGTGCGTTTGACGGTTTGTATATGAGTACGCACGATTGATGCGTTTGCCCCGCAACGATCGCTGATGGATGATCGACCTCTCGCGTACATTAAATGCAGTGTATTATAATTGATGACTTTGACATTAGAGCTCGAGTGACCTAAAACGGCCCTCGACTTGCAGAGTAGAATCGAAACGTAATTGAAAAAAAGGATTCCCATCTCATCGACGATCGTTACGTTAATAATTTCACTCATTCTTTGTCGCGCGCCGTCCGCGTGAACGAAAAAAAAAAAAAAATCACCTTCTCCTTCACGGCATTGTCGATCCACTGCAGAGCCTTGAACTTGCCGCAGCTCATCACGTTCCTGTAAATGGCACAATCACGCCGGCACCTGTTCAGCAGCATCTCCGTCGAGTTGTCCCTCCAGCTGTATTGTCGTTGATTATCGTCGTCGCTTCCGCTGCCCTCGGCAATGACGCCACCGCCACAGTAGCACACCACTACGAAGACGCAAACGACGAGCGATCGCAGTTTTCGCATCGAGATCATTGTTATTTTGATGATTTTTGTGTTTATCTTTTTTCGGTCACTGCGGTGTAGTGTGTTTTAGCGATCGGTATCGATCGGTATCACTCGCGGCACTGGTACTACGACTACTACTAGCCGGCGGATGACCCCCGCGCGCGGGGCACGATTGTACCGTTTCGTTTGCAGGTTAGCAGCGGCATAGCCTCTAACAAAATCCCTCCCCCCGTGACGAATCGTCCCCTAAATTAATCAATTACGATGTACGAGTGTGCTTCGAAGCGTGACCAGCACGATCCAAGGGATAATTCACACAACAACTACGACGACACTGATTACAACTGCTGCTGCTCCTGGGCACTACTACCGACGAAGAGACCGATTTTCGAGGTAAGTCCTTGTGCATGTGTTTCGTGCCCGCGGAAATCGCAGCGCACGCCGTAACCGAGAGAAGCTTTTTGATACTGACAACGGCCGCCAAGTTGCCTAGGCCATTTATATAGGAGAGAGAGAGATACTCTGCACATGTATATTTATGTAGGTCGGTGGGGGTATTCGGCGCGATTAGGTCTCTTACAGCAGCAGCAGCAGGCAAAACTGCAGTGCAACTGTATTGCACTTGTGTGCAGACACAAACATGCATAGAGAAGAGAGAGAGAGAGAGAAGAGGCTGCTACTATACCTATAAGCGAGCCGCGAGCATAGTCTCTCGAGTCCCCATCCTTTCGGGCTCTCTTTCTCTCTCTCATTCGCTCGAGTGTCTATGTGTGTTGTGTGTGATATACATAAACAAGCTAGCGGCTCTCTGCTGCTGCCGCCGGGCCGCCGCCGTCGCCGCTAGTCCTCGAGCTTGTACACGCGCGAGATTATGTACAGCCGCGAGTACAACACACACACTTTGTGTACTCCGCGGAGAAGTTAATTTTCAAGCACTGCGGCGCACTTTTTCACGGGTAAACTTGTCTGCTGCGCCGTATAATACGTGTTGGGAAATTTTGTCGCGTTTAAGGATGTTTTTTTTTATTTCTATGGTCGTGCGAAAGCTTGAATGGAAGCTGCGTGTCATGCAGAAACTCGCTAAGAGTACTTGATCGTTCTATTATACATTAGACGTTAAAAAGGCAATTTACCACTTGGTAAAGCGAATTGAAATGAAATCTTTTTTTTTAATTAAAAGCTTCGCGAAGATTTATGCATGCATCTCGATTCGATAAATTCCTCCCTGTACTTTTAAATTCATTAAAAATTGAAACAAAGATATCCCAGTTCAAAGTTCTCTTTCTTTCCTTCATAATATACCTCTCGCGTATCTGCTTAACCCTATTTAAACAGAAGCCATGTAAGAGGCTCTTCGCGAAAATTCTATCGACGACCTATATGTATGAAAAAAAAAAACACACAGAAGAGTCGACCTTTTCCTTCGGCATCGCTACATATATACAACTGATTTATACATCATCAACACACGATGTGTGCCTCTCGCTTGCTCGCGATTTAGCCGCAGTTCTCGCCGTCTTGCGGCCGTGCGCGCGATCTTCTTTCATACTTTTTTAGGCTCGAAATTCAGATTATAAACTCGACTCGATCTGCGCATTCGTATATAATATGTGTGCATCTCTTCCTCTCTCGATTACACTGCGCCCGTCTCCTAGGCTGCATTAAACGTACATATATATACGAGAGGAAGAGAGACGGCGTGTAGCACCTCTCGCAAGGAATGCTATTCGACGACGACGACGAACTGGGTCGTGCAGTCGTCCATGTGCTCGCGCGTTTACACACACACACACACACACGAGAGTTAACCATGAGTAAATTCGAGGTTATTCAATGCACAGGACTCCTCTCTCTCTCTCTTTACACTTTTGTATTACGAGCAATGACGCGAGAGGCACACGTTTAACGATCGAGTCGAGGCGCGCGTATATATGCGACGCCTAGAAGTATGCGCCGCTGGAAAATGAGATGAGACGCTATCGCTATGCATGTGCGTACTATTAAATAGGTATATATACGCATATTATAATGTGTGTCATGCCGAGAGTTTCGAATTCGGGCTTTAGGAGGCGAAAAAATTTTCGGACGGACGGGGCCTCGAGATGTCACACGCGTATACTGCCAAACATTTTATCAAACGTAAATAGATATCTTTTTAAACGATCGAGAGGATAAACAAAGTTTCACTCTAATGTGCGCCGCCGTCGTCGCCACTCGAATATAAATATAAAATGAAAATCAATACGCACGAGATAAACTTTTACGAACGTGTGCAAACACACGAGTGTATAATATAACGACACGCATAAGTGCAAGCCGCGTGGGTAAATAGCGATGAGAAAAGGCAAATATTGAGGTGTCGGCTTAGGCGCGCGCGCGAGTCATCGAGTGGCGTGTGTTTGTCGCACTCGAGTACTTGCACGTATATAATGACAATAATTTAAATCGACTCTTTTTACGGATTTTGCGATTTTCAATGTTACTCCGATTTTTAAACGATTACCCCATTAGATGTGGAACGCGTTTAACGTGTACTTTTTTGACCAGCGTGTATAATATCGATGCAGCAGCAGCATCACGACCTGTCGTGTTGTGAGGTGAGCGAAGACGAGTACTCCTTATTCTATACCTTTTCTAGGTTGTTACATATATGTTTAGATGCTAATTACGCGGGTTAAAGGTTGAATTATCGTGACGTCGGGTGATTTTCATCTCTCGTACCTAGCGAAGAATACACACACATTTATGGACTTGTTAACTGTATACTCATCGACTTACAAAGATTTTCTATCCATTGAAACGTCTCGATGAGGATGAACGAGAAGTTGAATAAACTCTCCGGATGTTAAAATCGACGCATTTCTGCCTTTAATAATAAGTGTTATTAAAAATTTTACAAATTCAGTGATCTAGTAAGTAAGTGGTTCTGTCTTAAAAAAAGTTTCGAACTTTACTATTTTTTTCGGTACCCAAACTAATGAATAAAAAAATGTATGATGTATTAAAATCTCTCAATTGATTACTTTGAAAAATGATCAACAAGGTAACTATTAAATTGCTACACACGCTTAGCTTGTATTTGTAATGGTATGTTTATTTTGTTTACGATCGAAGTTAAACTTATTCAAATAAATTACGCACTAATTTTACACACAAATTTTCCATAAATTTATATTAACTATAAATATTATTTATATACAATTATTTGTACATTTTTCTTTCCACATATTTTAAAAATTCTGTCTTTCTCTCGCGGTTTTTTAACAGATCTGTCGTATCTTCATTCGCGGCCGCCACACACTTGTCCCACAAATCCTTAATCTTCATTCGTCTAATTTATCCTTTTCCTTCTACGTCAAAGAGAAAAATGTCAGAGCCCATCGTCGGAAAAATCTCCCCGCTACTGTCTGGTGCAGGTACAAATCTAGCTTTCGTCGGCTAAAACAGGACACTCGATGGGATCCAGACTACTCATCCTCACTAAAAATTTTATTTAATTTTTCTGTCGTTCGATGAAATCGCGATGCCATCTCGGCAGCTCAGCAGCCAAAATTAAATTGCGATGTTCCAGAGCCACGTCCAACGCTGTCCGGCCCATCTCGTCCCGGGCTTCCATCATCACCGACCAGTTTAGACCCTTGCAGTTCTGCATTAACACATCCGCCATCATAATGTTATATTGACCCTGGCAAGCTATATGAAGAGGCGTCCGTCCACGAGCATCGCGCACATACGGATCGCCGCCGCGTCTCATCATCACTTCGACCATCTTCGCGAAGTCCGAAGACAGAGCCAACATCGGTCTTACCGCGATATCGAGCCCGCATGGTATCTCCGCCAATTTATCGTAGGTGCGCTGAAAAATCAGGTGCAGTGGCGTCGTTCGCTGACAATTGGGCAGATTCGGGTTTGCGCCCGCTTCCAGCAGTAGTATGGCAACGTCTTGGTGGTCGTTCGTCAGGGCCCAGTGTAGCCCCGAATCTTCCGATCCTGACATGAGATAATCGGGATTTTGGCCGAGCTCGAGGAATTTCTCGACGATGTCGTATAAACCGTGCCTGCAGGCCACGTGAAAGTGCGTGTATCCATGTTCGTCGATGAAATTCACATCGAACGTATCGTATATCCTAAAAAGTTTACTGACGATGCCGCTGTCGTACTCGCACTCGCCCCAGTAGTGTATCGGTGTGGAGTAATCCACCACTGGCCTGCCATCTTCGCCTACGACGGGCCTGTCCTTGTAGCCGGTTAGGATCGCAAATTCGACAATTTTTCTGTCGACTCTCCTAATACAATCCTGCAATATGAGCCAGTTCATTTGGCTGAAATGAAAAATGTTTGAGAGATTTGGAAGTTTAGTTCTCGATTAAGGTCCAAAATTGACTGAACAGTTCGAGTCGCTGTACTTCGATATCCCAATTGGTTTTTTCTAGCAAACTTATCAGTTTATCCAAACTTCTCGTGTTGTTGGCCATCGTTTTGAGAATTCACGCACGACTGCGTGTGACCGATTACTTTACTTTTTACACGAAAATCACTGGCGACGATCGACGCGATCTTTTTAGCTGTTTACGCTGCGACGTCGTAACGCGTACTGATCGACTCGACTATGTGGTCAGCTTGAAACATAATTTGCGCTCCTAAGAAACTATAGAGTAAACATATCAAATATGACAGAGCGAGATTTATCGTTGGAGAAAGCGCTAATTAATCGTTGATATATTATTTTTCTAGCAAATTAATTATAAGCTGGACGTGGCACTTGAATTTTGATCGAGTCAAATTTATTCTTATTTTTTAATCCCTACTCTGTCAGCTGATGCATTATTTTTCATGTGAAAAAACCGAATAAATTCGGATAATATTATGTTCCAACGAATTGATAATGAATTAAAAATTGAAAATGAGCTTGTCTAGATTCATTGATTTTGCTCGTAGCAGTTTCAATTGACAAATGAAAATATTGAACGAATGGTCATTCGCCTTGTCACGTTTCTTAAAATTGGATCACTCGTCATCTCGAATTTGCCTCCATCTCATTTTTTTCAAATATTTTTTCCAATCGAATCTTATACATCGTTTATGGATTATTTTGTTATTATTTTGTATTAATTATAAGTTTCTATTCAATTGTTTGCATGCTTGTACTATATCCTTCTAAAAAAAAAATTGACGAGTTTTTTAAAAATATATTCTTTTGTAAAAAGTGAAAATAATAAAATGTTGAAAAATTTTTATAAAATTTACCCAAAAACCTACTAGACTTAGTCCCAAGATTTCTATTAATAAATTCAAACAAAAACTTCGTGTGCACCATTCTTTGCAAAGCATCAAACAAACTTCAAATCGGTCGTGTCAAATTTTCATCAGTCATGTTAAATCGACGGCCCAGAGTGCCAGCAGATGCAGTCTATGAAATAAAAATGCTTCACCTCTATTTTATCTTTATTTTAATTCACTGGTCGCCAAAAAAAAAGATAGATGTATTGAAAGTGGTAAATAAATTCTTTTTAAAAAAACTGTTATTAACCCATTATGTCTGGGACGGACACATCTTTGATACTCTTTTGAACCGTTGTACTTTTACTGAAAATGGGGTCTAGAGACTTTCTAGAGAGAACATGCGGGTAAGCATATTCTACGCAAAATTTAATAAACTTTTCGAACACGGTGTCAGAATTTAGATATAACAAACAGGTCAAAAGTTATGGATGGTTTTATAAAAAAAACACTTAGAACAACCACCTTGTATATTTGTAATCACGAGTTTATTGTCGTTATGATAATAATTTTCAACTTGACCCTTTTTACGACTTAAGCAATTTTCAACATTGTACTTCGATTTTAAATTAACCGAAGATAACGATTAACCCATTATATTTTGAAAGCGTTAAATGTATAAATTTTTTACCTGCATTTATAAAGTCGATGCAGCAGCAGCACGACTTGTCATGTGAAGAATGCGTACACATTTATGCACTTGTTAACTGTATACTCATAGATTTACATAGATGTTCTCTGCATTAAAACGTTTGTATGAGGATAAACGTGAAGTTACCTACGCTCCGGATCTCATCATATTGTGGCAAGTTTTTTCGGTCGAAAATCGATGCATACGTTTTTAAAGATTATGTAAATTCAGTGATCTTGTACGTAAGTGAAGATATTTGCGTAAAATTATATTAGTTGTTTCGAAATAAGTATCCACTTTTGACATTTTTTTTACTACCTTAAGTAATAAATGAAAATCGATTACTTTGGAGAATGATGAACAAGGTAATTATTGAATTGCTACACACGTTCAGTCTGTACTCGTAAGCACACATTTATTTTGCTTGCATTCGACGTTTAGCTTTGAAAATTAATTCAAATAATTTACGCCCTCTTTGTGGTTAATTTTTCCATAAATTTATATCAACTATAAATATTATACACCTCGATCATTCAAAACAACCTATGCCTTTCCATAGTTGATAAATGGTTCATCTTTCTGTACAGATACGTATAATCTTCAAACCCGCCCGCCATGCACGCGTCGAACAACTCCTTGATCGTCATTCGTCTTATAAACTCCTCTTCCTTATCCGTCCTAGCGAAAAACGTCAGCGCGAATCGTCCGAGAAATTGCCCCACCACCGTCTGGTACGGGTACCGGTGAATAGCCTGTCGCGACCACGGCTCGGGCAACGTTTCCGCCCTGGACCGCTCGCTGTCTTCTATCGCGCAAGAAGCCTCCGCCTCCTCGGTTAGCACGTGAAGCAAATCATAGAGCGTCATATTCAGAGTCACCAGGTGCGCTTTCGCGATGCTCGCGAAGTCTTCGCCGCTATTCAAACGTTGGCCAATTTCTGGTGACCTGTTGAACAATCCGCCAAATCTGGTGAAGATTTTCATGACCGTCAGGGATTCCCTATAGTCCATTCGGTATCCTTTTCTCTCCAGGGAAACGATGATGCGCAGCGTGTCAAGCACCAGTGTCCGACGTTTACAGCCTGATGAGCCTGATGCATAAATATCGTATGTCGCGTCAGGAAAGCAGAAGTTGGACAGATCTGCCCCGTGTTCCAAGAGCCGATCGACCTTTTCCGGTGCGACGAGTGCCACGGCGTATTGCAGCGCCGTCAAGCCGGCGTTGTCTCGGGCGTCGATCCGCACGGGCCGATAGAAGCGTTCGCTCGCATTGAGATACTCCCGCAACAAGGCAGGAAGGTAATTCTCGCACTTGACCATAAGATGCAGCGGTGTCGTTCCCTCTTTGTCGGCTAAATTAAGATCGGCGCCTTCACGCATTAGCGCTTTAGCCTCGGTCATATTGGAATATTCCACGGCCGCGTACAATGCCGTCCGGCCGCTCTCGTCCTGCGCGTCGATCTCCAGCGGCTTTCCGTGCTCCTCGCAGATACCCACAAACTGCACCAATGCGACCTCGCCATTCTGAATCTGGCAAAGTTCGTGAAGAGGCGTCAGTCCCTCGGCATCGCGGATATTCGGATCGGCGCCTTTGCTCAGCAATAATTCGACCGTCTCCGCGTAGTCCCACAACCGAACCATCATCGTTCTGGGATCGCAATCTATACTCGTCGATTCGTCCCACGCGTGCTGACAGATCAGGTGCAGCGGCGTCGATCCATCTTCATCGGGCAGATTCGGGTCCGCGCCTGCCTCCAGCAGTATCGCGGCAATAACTGTGTCGTGGATTGCCAGGGCCCAGTGTAGCGGCGCGAATCGATTTTTGTCGGGAAGATTCGGGTCCGCGCCTAAGAACAGCAGCAGTACGATAACATCTACGTGGCCGTGTTTCAGGGCCACGAGTAGCGGCGAATCGCCCGTTCTTGGCATGAGACAATTGGGATTCTCGCCCTGCACGATGAATTTCTCGACGGCGTCGTAACAGCCGTACTTGCAGGCCACGTGGAGATGCGTATTGCCGGAATCGTCGACGAAATTCGCCTCGAACCTGTCGTATATTTCAAAAAGTACATCGACGATGCTGCTGCCGTACTTGGGCTCGCACTCGGCCCAATAGTGTAACGGTGTGTTGCGACGCAACTCCGTCTCGCCATCTTCGTACACGTAGGGCTCCGGGTCGTGGTAACCACATAGGTACGCGAAATAGATGACTTCTTTGTCGACCTTGTCTTCGTTCCAACAATCCTGCAATATGAGCCAATTCATTTGTGGGGGCTGAAAAATGCTCGAAAGATCTGGAAGTTGACCCTCCCAATTCATTGCCAATTGATAAAGTTGACGATGAAGTTCGAGTCGTTGTTCTTCGATATCCCAATCGGTATTGTTTTGCAAACTTATCAGTTCATCAAAACTTTTCGTGTTATTGGCCATCGTTTTGAGAATTCACGCACGACTGCGTGTGACCGATTATTTTACTTTTTTCACGAAAATCACTGGCGACGATCGACGCGATCTTTTTAGCTGTTTTCGCTGCGACGTCGTAACCCGTACTGATCGACTCGACTATGTGGTCAGCTTGAAACATAATTTGCGCTCCTAAGAAACTATAGCGTAAACATATCAAATATGACAGAGCGAGATTTATCGTTGGAGAAAGCGCTAATTGAGCATTGATGTATTATTTTGCTGCCGAATTATAATCATAAGCTAGATATGACACTTGAATTTTGATTGGTCATACAAATGAACTTAATCTTTTTTTTTATTACCTACTCTGTGAGCCGCATTCATTTTCATGTGGTTTTCATGCGAAAAAACCGAATAAATTCGGATAATATTTTGTTCCAAAAAATTGAAAATGAGCTTGTGTAGATTCATTGATTTTTCTACTAACAGTTTCAATTGAGAAATGATGAAAATATTGAATGAATAGCCATCGTCGTTTTAGGTCACATTAAATTGGATCACCCGTCTTCTCGATGGTTTCAAATCTTTTTTTGTCAATCGAAACTTATAAATTGTTTTTAAGTTTTAATGACAAGCACTAGATAATAGATGAATATTTTGTTTGATTTGTAAGTTAATTAATTCTATACAGGAGTTGAGGTATAAATAGTTTCGAGTTTTGCCGTGTTCTTGAGTGACATTTAACCATTTTTATAAGTTTTAAAAAGTAGCAAATTAAAAACTTTCCTGGTTAGACTCAAAATAAATACATTCCGCTGATATATTATATGTAAATGTAAGGGTAATTCTATTTGTATATTTATATTACATCGAGAATCATATCACTATTTAGTCGTAACTTACACTAAAAATTACTTATTAAAGCATAATACAAGAACTATTAACACGATGATTTGCAGAAGAAGAAGAGTGTTTATAATTCCTTTTCAAAATAAAATTGTAACAATATATATTAAGATATTAAAATGCTTCTGAAATGCGATAAAAAGCCGTCATATATGATACTATTATTCTCATAATCTGAAAAATATAATTAATCATTTTTAGCTGTAAGATTCTAAAATTAATTGTTTTATATCAAATAACTCACTGCGCTAAAAGTCTCATAATTCACTGGAATTGTAGGGCCAGCCGTAATAGTGCAAGGATTAGCAGTTCGGAGAATCATTACGATAATCAAACGTCTCTCTTTTACCGAGAATAAGTACCATTTAGCATTGTAACTGAAAGAATATTTTGAATGTTTTATTTCAAGCTTTGTTATAGTCAATTATACCATTTAATTACCAGTTTTTATTCAATTGGTCGCATGCCTGTATTATATCTTCGCATGAAAAAGTTAGATAAAACAGTATCATAACTGAATGAATCATGCTAAGGGCTATTTTTAAAGCATATAATTTTTCGTAAGGGAGAACAGCCATAAACTAAAAAAAACAAGCTTTTTAACAAGATGTCTTTTGTAAAAAGAGAATCTAATACAATTTTGAAAAGTTTTAATAAAACTACCCAGAATCCTGCTAAACTAAGTCCCAAGATTTCCATTATAAATACAATCAAAAACTTCGTTTGTATTATTCCTTGCACAGATTCAAGCAAGCTAAAATATTTCAGTCAAATTTCGATCAGTCATGTTAGTTCATTTTTATTTGTTTGAGTGATATGTATCTAATCTATGTATTTATTGCTCTTTAAATACTAATACGATCATTTTTCTCATTTTAAAACGAATAAATAATATTATAGTGTTAATAAAATTAAAGTAACTCAACTTTATTGTTTCTTGGTGCATACGAATATTATCGCGAATCATTTTATTGATTATTTGCATTTTTCGTTCAGCGGTCAAAAGTATAGAACTCGATCCAACTTCTTCATGCATTTGCGCCATATCTTGTCTATAATAAAAATTATGCCAATTTTAACAATTTACTACATAATTTATTGAAGTTCAAGTTTACCCTATGATTGAGAACATTCCCGCGATAAATTTTAATACAAAAATTTGAATGTAATTCATTACATTGACTACAATTATGATTATAGCAACAAACATTAATGTATAAAAAAAGAATATCCAATAATAATTCTTCAGGGCGTTGGTAAAATAGAATGAGACACATAATCTTCTTTCAACCGAGTTATTCACTGATATCGAATTAGTCATTGAATATAGTAAAACTGGTTCAATTGCATATCCAAAAAAAGAAACTGACGTAATACCTGTGAAAATATTGTAAATAACTAGTAGCTAAAATTTAACTCATGAAATACTTAATGCAACATCTTAATAATTGAAATTAATAATTATCTACTCAATACAACAGATAATTAACGGTAAAAATAACTTTATATTATCTGAGGAAATAAGTACAAACCAAAGTAAAGTACAATTAAAATGAAACTAGTTTTTGCATTTCTTGTGATAATTTTTTTCTCAGCGTGAGATCTGCAATTTTGCCACAGAATTTCCATTCGAGTCGAAATAGCCTGAATCTATAGCAGAATTTTTGTTCAATTAAAAAAAACAGTTTAAAATGCACATGATTGATTTTCATATGTACCTTACTTGAATCATACATTAGAGATATATACAGTGCGAGAAAACCATAAATATAGATACAAGTATAAGATGTATCAAACATATCATAACTATTCATAGTTCCTTCAATTATTCCGAATACAACTGCAAGCGTCCAGAAAATAGTTTTTTTTTATGAGTAGCTATGCTTAAGCGTTGAATGGGCTTGGTATACAATTAAAATGAAATTTTAAAAATTATAAAAAAAATTGCACTCATTCACATTTGCCTAGTTTTTAGTACTTCATACTCCGAAAATTTTTTTAGAGTTTGATTGTTTAAAAATTATGAAAATTTATATTTATAGATTATTACCATATTGAACAATGCGAATACCGAAAAGCTGAAAACCGTCCCTCTTCCGAGTATCTGAATAATTTTATTCATGTCAGAACCAACAAATGCCCATCGGGTACATTTGGCAAAATAATTAAACATTGCTGGCGGAGAATAATTTTTTTCGGAAACCAAAAGATTTAAGTAGTGGCTCATTTTTTTTTGCTATCCAAATGAATAAATTTGAATGAATGTAAAGCGATGAATCATTTTAGATTGGTCTATTCAAAAATGGGATTAAACTAAACTCGAGAACTTCGTATTTACTTATATAGCATATGGCTTTCATAAATATTGTATATTAAAAATAAAGATATTTAAAAAAAAAACGAAGAGTTTAACTATTTATTTAGGGTAAACGTAAGTACATATAGCTGCAGGTGTACCTATTGCTGTAAATGAAAAAATAAGCTTATATCTTGATGTGTTAAAGTCCTAAGGAATATTTTTAACTGTACCGGATGACACGTATAAGTTTTACTTTTGTATATTATACAAATGGATAGTATTCAAAAACAAATTTTTTATGCAGTCAGAAATTATATGAAAGTAAAAAAAAATATGATGATATCCCCTGTCAAAAAATTTTCTATTTTCAATTATTTATTTTAACTTTACTTAAATATAAACATGAACGAATTTAAAATTTCCCGTTAAATGTTAAGTCACACAGACCTTGTAAAATTTTTACGTTCCACAGGATAGTTTAAAAATATATTTATAATTAATTTTATTTTTAAATTTTTAATCTTTTGCGTGGAACGTGCGGACTGGGGCTGCCAATGCATATGTGACACGTGCAAAGATTATTTTTAATTATTAAAAATAAACGGATCGGTGTATCTATAGCTCCCTGAATACATGTTTTATTGATTTTAATAAGTGATACACCTCACTCACTAAAACATATAGAAAAGTTTCACAATTTATGAAATAAAGTTTTTTCTGTCAGATAATGCAAAAAAGTTTACTTTTTAAATAATATTTTTACTGCACTATAATTATTAATATAATTATTTTGGCAGTTAGTATTGCAATCAGGTAAACAAATTCTTTTTGCGTTATGTGTGAATTTCATTTTGAATAAATGCCCATCCAGTGATTTTATATAAAATTAATCATGTGGCTATCCATAAAACGAGAAGTTTGCAACGCTTACTAAACTAATTTTTTTTTCTTTTTTGTATATTTTTCAATCTCAACAATTTATGCTAACAACAGAGACTTTGAAATATCATTCAAGTAATAATAACAATTAAAAAATATAAATCAAATAACAATAATAAACTAACTCAACACATTTAATTAATCAATTTTAAATTTTCTTCGTTACGATTTTACCGGAAGAATATGATAGATCTAAGTCCCTATTATAATATTTCCTTACATATTCATTACGCACATAAGCGAGCCATTTTGTGTCTTGACCCGCGGATTCCATACAAATGTCCCACAAACCATTGATCTTCAGTTGACCGACGAACATATTACAGTAGCGCGTCGACAGCCAATCGTTCTTCTCTGAAAACAATTTTAAGGCCCATCGACGGAAAAGGCCTCCTGCTACTATACCACACAGATGTGTAATATACGCCTTGTGAGAATCGTCGCAAAGATCGGCGATTTCTGAGGTGAATTCATCGTAGTCGTCGTCGTCGTCTATCGTAAATACTTTTTCTGCCTCTTCAGGTGGCAGCTGAAGAAAGTCGTAGAGCGACAGGTTAGGTTCCACGAGCTGCCTTTTCGCAATCCTCGCGAACTCTTCATCGCTACGCAGACACTTGCCGATATCTATAGGCTCGTCGATCAGGCCGTGCTTGGCGAAGGTCTTCATGATTGTGAGGGCGGCCGTTTGGTCCATTTGATATCCTTTTTTCTCCAGGGAATTGACGATGGACATCGTATGAAACACAACTACCTGAAGAGTACAGTCGAGTGTATATTTCTCGGCGAAGTAATCCTCGGTGGGAAACACGAATTTGGACAGATCTGCCCCGTGATTCAAGAGATCATCGACCACGACCCGCGAGAGACTCGCTACAGCCCATTGCAGAGGCGTCCGACCCAACTTGTCCTTCGCGCCGATCTGTACCGGATGATCTCTTCCGTAGCAAGCAGAAAATACCATTCGTACCGCCTCAAAATCGTTTTCCATCTTACAAACGATGTG